AGTGGCTGCAATGGCTATACCTGAGCCTATCTGAAGCCAGGAGCCAGAAGTTTCTTCCAGGTCTCCCACAGGGATGTAGGGTCTCAAGGGTTTAGGCTGTCCTCGATTGCTTTCCCAGGTTACAAGCAGGGAGCTGAAAGGGAAGTAGAGCAGCTAGGACATAAACAGGCACTCATATGGGATCCTGGCAATACAAGGTGAAGACTTCAGCCACGAGGTTACTGCACTGGGGCCAGTGAACTCTTTGGTTTATATTTAATGGGAGATTGCTAAGTCTATATTCTCTGTTTTTAAAAGATGTAATAATTTTTATCAGAAAGGCAGAATTACAGAGACAAAGATCTTCCATCTGCTGGTTCACTCCTCAAGTGGCTACAACAGCTGGAGCTGAGCTGTTTTGAAGCAAGGAGCCAGGAACGTGTTCCAGGTCTTCCACATAGGTACAGGGTTCCAAGGCTTTGGGCCATCCTCTGCTTCCTTCCCAGGCTACAAGCATGGACCTGGATGGAAGTGGAGCAGCCAGGATACAAATGGGTTCCCATAAGAGATCCTAGCACTTGAAAGGTGAGGATTTTAGCCACTAGGCTACTGCACTGGGACCAGCCTATAATACCTTATTTTAAATTTTAATTTGTTTATGTTTTAAAGATTCATTTTATTTTTATTGGAAAGTCAGCTATACAGAGAGGAGGAGAGACAGAGAGGAAGATCTTCCGTCCAATGATTTACTCCCCAACTGACCGCAACAGCAAGTGCTGTGCTGATCTGAAGCCAGGAGCCAGGAACTTCCTCCAGGTCTCCCACATGGTACAGAGTCCCAAGGCATTGGGCCATCCTCGACTGCCTTCCTAGGCCACTAGCAGGGAGCTGGATGGGAAGTGGAGCTGCTAGGATTAGAACCAGCGCCCATATGGGATCCTGGCATGTTCAACGCGAGGACTTTAGCCGCTAAGCCACACCGCTGGGCCCAAGCCTACAATATGTTAATGCTGGCATCTTTCCACATACTTGGCAAGTCTTCAGTCCAAAATAATTATTTTTTAAATTATTCTTTCTAGACTCTTAAATTACCTTTCACTCTTTCCAAATCCTTTGGGACAAATGCTTTTTGTTTTCATGGTGTCTCACAATTCCTATAGTTTTTCAGTCTGTTCTTCTAACTTGGTAACTTAAAATGTTGCATGTGTGTTTATAAGGTTTTATTTATTCACCTGAAAAGAAGATTGATAGGTAGGGAAGGAGAGACAGCAGGACAAACATATACAGACATTTTCTTTATCTCCTGGTTTACTCTCCAAATGCCTTCTACAGCAAGGCCAGGCCAGAGGCCAGAAGCTAGGAATTTCATCCAAGTTTCCCACATGAATGCCTGGACCCAAGGAACTGGCCCATCAGTTGGGACATCCGCAGGTGCATTAGCAGAAGCTGAACAGGAACTGCAGAATAGCTGGGACTGCAATCAGAAGTCCTGTATGGAATATGGGCATGTGAAGTAGAGCTTTAACCTACGGAACCTCTATACTGTCCCTAAAATGTTGCTGATCTATTTTTCCCAACTCGATTAAATCTGATATTGAAATGTCTATGGATTTTTAAAAATTCATATTTTATCTCCTATTTCTATTTAAATGTCTTATTTTATTTATTTCTTTGTTAATTTATTTTCATTTTATTTGAAAATGGGAGGGCAGGAAGAGAAGAGGGAGGAAAGGATGAGAGGAGGAGGGAGAAAAGGGGGGAGGGAGAGAGACGGAGACACTCCAGGTCACCTGCTTAGCAGGCAACTGGACTGAAAGTTAGAGTAGCCCAGACTCAAACCAGGCACTCTGCTGCGGGATGTGGACACCCCAAAAGGTTTAGGAGACACTGCTCAGGACTGACGTGTTCACTAGTTATGCTATATGGCTAGTTGAGGCTTGCCTCCCTGCCTGAGGGGAGCCATGGAGTGGGTTCTGAGGTTGGTCACATGTTGTGGCTGGTAGAATTTCCCATGGAGCTGGTGGGAGTAACCTGCTTGGCTTTACGAGTGAGCTATGCTACTGGTTGGTATTTCTGGCAGGAACACAGAGCTAATACCGATACCCATGGGTTGGTGGTTGTGAGCTCAACCCCATTCTCTGTTCTTATCTGACTGCAGGCCACGTGATCTTCATGCCATCCTCAAGATTTAATATGAGTATGTAGGAGCAGGGCTCCTGCAAGGCGCTCCAGGATGTCAGGGAAGCTGAGTGTCTTCAGCTCTCTTTTCCCCACTGTGGGCCCAGGGGAATCTTCTCTACATGGCACTGGGCCTTCTTAGGAGAGGAGCAGTGTGATCCAAGTGAGACCATTCCTCTTGTTTTTCTTTTATTTTTCCTTTAAAGATTTATTTTATTTTTATTGGAAATGTGGATATACAGAGAGGAGAGACAGAGAAGAAGATCTTCCGTCCGATGATTCACTCCTCAAGTGAGCACAACGGCTGATGCTATGCCAAGCTCGACTGCTTTCCTGGGGCACAGGCCGGGAGCTGGATGGGAAGTGGGGCTGCTGGGATTAGAACCAGCGCCCATATGGGATCCCGGGCGTGCAAGGCGAAGATCTTAACCACTGTGCCATTGCGCCGGGCCCTCCTCTTGTTTTTCTAATGCAGTTATTTTCAGTTCCGTATTATGTGTTGGGTCTCAGTCTCATTTCCAAGTACTGGGGTTTTTACAAAGGTGTTGTTTGTAGAGAGTTGCTAGGTGTACCTTCTGTGTGGCGAGTAAAGGCCAGGACCTCCTACTCATTATTTTGCTGACATCAGTCTCCCTATAAATTTAGACTGTAATTATGATTTGTTTGCTATAGAATGGATGATGATAATGGCAATGAGGTCATTTCCCAACCTTAATATTGTACAGACAGGCCCTCTGAGTGCTATGTAAGGGTCCCAAGCCAGTTGAGGAGCTGTAACTACTCCAGCATTAGCTCTGGCTAACTTCCCAACTATGTACCACAGCTAAACACATGACTTCTGAAATCAGATGGATATGAATGTGAATCTCCAGTTAATTTTTGCTTGCTTTATCATTTTGTCTTGATTCTTCATATATGAAATAATAACTACTATGGAGATAAAGATACAAATCAACTGTAAATACATGTTTAGTAATATACGTAAGGAGGTCACAGTATTACTCCCAGTTATCCTCTTTCCCCATCTTGATGTTACCATCAGAGAGGAGTTGGATTACCAAGATCTTATCCCTGGCTTTCTGCTACCAGCAGATCCTCTGAGGTTCAGATTAGTTTTTTCCTGTCTTCTTAATTGCACATTTTATTAATATTCTCATGTTCAGAGAACTCTCCTGTAAACTCTAGTTTCTTATTTTCAACTATACAATATCTACAAGTAGATGTCTGAAAAGTATTTCAACCTTAACATGTCTAAGTGCAGACAGTATCTCCCTCCCACTCCCACAACCCACCCGCAACTCTTGCAGACACATCAATCTCAAGGGAGGGAAATCTCATTTAAAATAAAAAATTTTTTAATTATCTGAAAGACAGATTTAGAGATGGAATTTTCTATCAGCTGGCTCACTCCTAAATTGACACAATGGCTCAGGATGGGCTGAGCCATCTTCTGCTACTTTCCCAGGCACGTTAACAGGAAAGTGAAGCTCCCAGGACTCCAACTATTTCCTATATAAGACACTGGTGCTGCAGGTGGTGGCTTAACTCATTACGCCACAGCCCTGGCCTCAAGGAAGTCTCATTTTACAGCTATATGGACAAAAGGATTGAAATCACCTATGACTCTTCCTCTGTTTCTTAGCAAAGATCTGTTTTTGTTTGTTTCTAGGATATACACTGAACAAGACAATTTATCTTACCACCATGTAGGGTCTGTGATGGTTAATTTTACATGTTGACTTGACTGCCCTATGTTGTTCTGATATTCCACCAAATAAAACTCACAATGTTTCTGCTTAATGGATGAGATTAGCTTTTAAATTACTGAACTTTGAATACAGCACACTGCCCTCCATAATGTAGGTAGGTGGTAGTCAATCATTTAGATGTCTTACTAGAACAAAGATTGACTTCTCTCCAAGACAGAGGGAATTTTGCTGGGAGAATGCCTTGGAATTTGAACAGCAGTTCTTCCCCGAGTCTCCAGCCTGCTTGCCTATCTTGTCAGGTTTTGAACTCACCAAGTCTCCAAGATCACATTACATGAGCCAACTTCTTAAAAGCGCTCTTTCCCAGCCTCTCAATCTCACATCTACCTATTTTGTTGATATTATTTCTCTAGAGAAACCTAATAATATGGTCCAAATCTCCATTAATGCTCACCTAGATACTATTAACAGTCTCTTAACTAGTGTTCTATCACCATTTTTGTCCTCTTACAATTAACTTTGTGTAAATGTCTTAAAGTTCGTTTTTAATTAAGCCAACTTTTGACTATTCAAGTTAGTATAGTCAGCTGTCTGCTGGTTATGTATCCAGATTTCAGACAAACTCAGATAGAACATAGTAAAAATCATGTATGTACTGAACCCATACCAACTTTTACTCTTATGATTATTCCCTCAACAATATAACAACTTACATAGCATTTACACTGCTTTAGCTATCATAAGTATCCAAGGAACAATTTGAAGTATTATGCAGGAGTATGAGTGTACGTAAAATACAACTATTATTCCTTTTTATAGAAGCACCTTGAATATCTGTGGGAGGTTCTAGAACCAATCCCCCATGGACCTGAAGGAACAATAGCATATGTCTTCAACTGTGTATGTCTAAGCTATGTTCATCTATCTTGCGATTTATTAACTCACTCGTTTGTGCCACACTGACTGTCCATCACGAGCCAAACACAAGAACTAAATATACATATAAATTAGAACATGGATCTTACCTCAGATCTGGAGGGCACAGCAGGTGGATATATAAACAAATATAATACACTGTATAAATACAATGATAAAGTGTAAGTACAGTTCAGAGAGAATGTAACATCTACTTACATTAAGAAGTTGCTTTTTAGCATATGTTCTAATCTGTCCTTGGTAAGAAAAAACAAAAAAAGTTACACATTCATTTTATGTAATTATATTTCAAGAACAGATGTAGTGGGTTTTATCCACAAACTAATTACCTTGTGGCCAGGAGCTAAGAATTTGTGACAGAGTTCAACATCTTCAGGACAATTTGAGAGCACTGTCATTGCTGAAGTTTTGAAGAGATCCTCCATAATCTAAAAGAAACAATAAAGAAACACCTGGTTAGGAAGTGGCTTCAAACACAAAGCCTGTCCGGGGTGGTGGCTGTCCCAGAAGGACAGTCCTCCAGGTTTTACCAAGGCTTTACCTTAGGCCTTTTAACCCCTGAAGGTACTTTCAGGTATATCAGTTTCTTCTCAGAGAAGAACAGTGAAAGCTTGAATCTTTATGTTGACAACCTCACTATTAGTACTGAAAGGAGATGCCAGTGAATGGTTGTAACCCACAGAAGACTCTTTCAACAAACTCCCTTAAGAAAGCAGGACAATAATACTACCTAGTTCACAGGATTACTGTCAGAATTAAATGACAGCCCATGCATCAGACTTAGCTTTGTACCTGACTCAGAGAAGTACACAAAAAAATATTAGCGGTTGTCAAGAGGAAGACCATTTTTTAAAGTGATTCATTTAGTCACTGGAAATGGAAACAAACCTAAAAATTTGAGAATGATGTATCTAACTCTTCATGGACACATTTTTGCTGTGTGAAAGCATAAAGTAAAAAAACACAAATTTAACACTTATCAACATAAGATTTCTTTTCACCAGACATGTCTATAGAAAATCCATGAAAAACTTTCAAAAAAAATCATTTTTTCTGTATTATAATTTTGTAGTTATAGGGCTTCTTCCCTTCCCCCACTCACGTTGTCCCATGTTTAACAATAATATAGTCCTTCAGCTGCCATCTCCATTCCAGTGTTCTGCTCTTTATGTGTGTCATGACATGGTAGGCGTAAGCAAAGGTGGGGGGGGGGGCTCTAGTATTTTGCTGTCAAGGTTTATTTGACAGTTTTACTGGGGGATCCTTTTATTCAGGAGTACAGAAGCATACTGCAGTTCTTTGCTTCCGGATACTCTGGATCCATTACATCATTTGCTCACTAGATTACAAGTGTATACTTGTTTAGATCTTTCTGTTTTGTATTTTGGATGACAGTTGTCTTATATCAGGGACAGTAGATACGATTTGTCCTTCTGGGACTGGCTTATTTCACTGAGCATAATAGTCTTCAGTTGCAAGGACTTTGTTCCAAATGGTAGACTTTCATTTTCTCTAATGGCCAAGTAGTATTTCATAGGGTAGATTTGCTGCAGTTTTATAAATCCCCCTTTCAATGGGCATCTAGGTTTTTTCCATATCTGCTATTGTAGATAGTGCTGCAACGAATATAAGGATGCAGGATTTTTTTTTTTCTATGTAAGTATCACGGCCTTTGGATATATTCCCAGGAGTGAGATTGTTCAGTCTTCCAGTGGATAAATTTTCAGTTGCCTGAGCACTCTCCATACTGACTTCCATAGTGGCTGCACAAGTCTACAATCTCACCAGCAGTGGAGTAGGGTAACTTTTCCCCCATATCTTTGCCAGCAGTTACTGTTAGATTTCTGCATGTAGGAAATCCTCATGGGGGTTAAGTGGGGTTATGCCTGACAAAGCAGAGAATACAGCCCAAATGTTTGAGTCCATACTACACACATGGAGAATTAGATGGAGACTAGGATACCTGATTGAACCTGACCTAGCCCTGGCCATTATAGCTGTTGGAGAGTCAATCAATAGATGGAAGATCTCTGTGTCATTCTGTTTCTCAAATAAATTTTTAAAAAGATTTATTTTATTAGGAAGGCAGATATACAGAGAGGAGGAGAGCAAGAGAGAGAAAGATCTTACATCTGCTGGTTCACTTCCAAATGGCCATAACGGCTGGAGCTGAGCCGATCCAAAGCCTGAAGCCAGGAGCTTCTTCTGGGAATTCCATGTGGGTGCCAGGTTCCAAGGCTGTGAGCCATCCTCTATTGCTTTCCCAGGCCACAAGCAGGGTAGCGGAGCAGCTGGGATATGAACTGGTGTCCATATGGGATCTCAGGAGTTGCAAGGTAAGGATTTAGCCATTAGGCTATTGTGCCAGGCCCTAAATATAGTTTTTTTTTTTTATTGTTGCTTATACTGTATTATGTAGTACAGTTTTATAGGCGCTGGGGATTCCCCCCACCCCTCCCCATACCCCTCCCCCCATGGTGGATTCCTCCACCTTGCTGCATAACCATAGTTCAAGTTCAGTTGAGATTCATTGCTTGCAAACACCTGCCTAGCATAAAGTTCAGCGTCTTATTGTCCAGATAAGTTCAGTGGCCTCCTGGGGAGACCTTCTATGGTCTGAAGATAGGTCTAACAGAGTAAAGATCCGGTCGGTTAAAAGCCTCAACAAGGCCTCAGTATCAATATACAACATTATGGAATTAATTGACATTGTATTGGGTAAACAATATGTTAAAAATAATGCAAGTTCCATTCTTCGAAACATCTGGGTTGAGACAGCATCAATGACACGTTCAAAAAATAACAAACAACCAAACAATAAATTACAGGTTAAATCAAGGCAAACATGTGGTATCTAATCTTTTGGGATTCGCTCATTTCCCTTAGCATTATAGTTTCCAGTTGTGCCCATTTAGCCACAAAGAACTGCATTTTGTTTTTTTTAATAGCTGAGTAGTATTCCATGGAGTAGATGAACCAAAGCTTTCTTATCCAATCTTCTATTGATGGGCATTTCGGTTGCTTCCATGTTTTTGCAATTACTGATTGTGCTGCAATGAACATAGGGATGCATGTTGGTTTGTCGTAAAACAGGTGTTTTGGATATATTCCTAGGAGTGCTATTGCTGGGTCATATGGCATGCAGATTCCGAGTTGTTTGAGTGTTCTCCAGACTGATTTCCATAAAGGCTGTACCAATTTGCAGCTCCACCAGCAGTGGAGTAGGGTTCCCTTTTCCCCGCATCCTCGCCAGCAAGCGTCGTTGGTGTTCTTGATTATGTGGGCCAATCTTACTGGTGTTAGGTGGTACCTCATCGATGTTTTAATTTGGATTTCCCTTATTGCTAGGGAGCTGGAACATTTTTTCATATGTTTGTTTGCCATTTGGACTTGTTCCTTTGTGAAATGTTTGCCCATTTCCCTTGCCCATTTCTTGAGTGGCTTGTTTGTTTTGGTTTTTTGGTTGTTTTGAAGTTCTTTGTATATCCTGGAAATTAGCCCCCTATCGCCTATATCGTGTGCAAAGATCTTCTCCCACTCTGTGGGTTGCTTTTTTACTTTGTTGATTGTTTCCCTTGCTGTACAGAAGCTTCTTAGTTTGATGAGGTCCCATTTGTTTATTCTGTTCTCAACTGCTGTTGCTTTTGGTGTCCTTCTTAGAAAGTCGGAACCTACTCCTAGGTCTTGCAGTGTATTTCCTACATTTTCTTGCAAGAGTTTGAAGGTTTCTGGATGTAGGTTTAGGTCTTTTATCCATGTAGATTGGATCTTAGTGTATGGTGATAGATGTGGGTCTATCCTTTTGTTTCTACAGGCTATCAGCCAGTTGTCCCAACAACATTTACTAAAGAGGCCTTCCCACTTGCTTGAGCTATCATTGGTCTTTTTGTCAAAGATTAATTGGCTGTATTTGTGTGGGTTCCCTTTTGGTGCTTCTATTCTATTCCATTGATCTTCCTTTCTGTCTTTGTGCCAGTACCAGGCTGTTTTGATAACCACTGCTCTATAGTATGTCCAGAGGTCCGGGATTGTGATTCCCCCTGCTAACCTCTTATTTTTCAGGATGGTTCTAGCTATTCGTGGTTTTTTGTGTTTCCAGATGAACTTTTGAATCATTGTATCCAGTTCCGTGAAGAATGTTTTGGGCAATTTGATTGGAATTGCGTTGAAAATGTATATTGCTTGTGGTAGTATAGACATTTTAATGATATTGATTTTGCCTATCCAGGAGCACGGGATGTTATTCCATCTTTTGAGGTCTTGTTCAATTTCCTTTTTAAATAGTTTGTAGTTTTCTTCGAATAGGTCTCCTACGCTTTTGGTTAGATTGATTCCCAAATACTTCATACTTCTCTCTGCTATTTTGAATGGTATCCTGTTGGTTAGATCTTCTTCCATCTTGGTGTTATTTGCGTACACTATGGCTGTTGATTTTCGTTCGTTAATTTTGTACCCTGCCACTCTGCCAAACTCTCGTATAAGTTCTAGCAGTTTCTGTATTGAGTCTCCTGGTTTTTCTATGTATAGGATTATGTCATCTGCATATAGTGAAAGCTTGACTTCTTCGTTTCCTATACGTATGCCTTTGATTTCTTTTTCTTGTCTTATGGCCTCTGCAAGTACCTCTAGGACTATGTTGAATAGCAGTGGTGATAGCGGGCACCCTTGTCTTGTTCCAGATCTCAGTGGGAAGGGTTCTAGCTTTTCTCCATTCAGTATGATACTGGCGTTGGGTTTTTCATAAATTGCTTTAATTATGTTGTGGATTTTCCCATCTATGCCTACTTTGGCTAGAGTTTTTAGCATGAAGAGGTGTTGGATTTTGTCGAAAGCTTTTTCTGCATCTATTGAAACTATTATGTGGTTCTTGTTTTGCAGTTTTTGGATATGGTTTATAACATTTATGGATTTCCGAATGTTGAACCATCCCTGCATTCCAGGGATGAATCCTACTTGATCCGGATGAATGATCTGTCTGATGATTTTTTGAATTCTATTGGCTAGGATTTTGTTGAGAATTTTAGCATCAATGTTCATCAGAGAGATAGGTCTGTAGTTTTCCTTCTCTGATGGTTCTCTGTCCGGTTTTGGGATTAAGGTGATGTTGGCTTCATAGAATGAGTTTGGGAGGGTTGCTTCCTCCTCTATTGTTTTGAAGAGCTTGTAGAGGATTGGGGTTAGTTCTGTTCGGAATGTTTTGTAGAATTCTGTAGTGAAGCCGTCTGGGCCTGGGCTTTTTTTCGTTGGGAGATCCTTGATGACTGTTTCAATCTCTACCTCGGTTATGGGTTTATTTAATTCTGCAGTTGCCTCCGGACTGAGTTTTGGTAAGTGGTGGGAGTCCAAGAACTTTTCTATTTCTTGGTGGTCCTCAAATTTGTGGGAGTACAGTTCTTTGTAGTAATTTCTAATTATTTTCTTAATGATT